GAGCATGGAGGATATCAGTGTGGCAGGAAGGGGAGAGAAAAGCAACAAGGGACTCAGAGAGAGCAGAGAAATAGACATATGTGGTCTGTAGGGCAGCTCCCTAAGTCCTGCTTGCTTTCTATTAAAATCCTGATACTATTTTATTGGCCACTGAGCTGTATTATTAATATACTACCTGAGTTTAAATCCTGCCTCTGCTTGTACTATTTGTGTGGCAATGGCACATTATCAAACCATATTGGCCCCAATTTTCCACCTATACAATCCTATATCATATGTTGTTCTAAGAGTATGAGGCAAAGTCTTTGCAATCCAATGTTCTTTGGAATGCTTCACCATAAAAGAGTAATTAAAAAAAACAATAAAACAGCAGTTTTTGTGCATCATGATGCTAGAGGAAGAGAGACAAGTTGCACTATGACAAGGGTATGTGAACATGAATGGGTGAGAGTTGGCATGGTGCATGGGAAGTTTGGGGCTCCTGAATCTGGAATCCAGGTTTTACTGCTCCGGCTCTATGGAGCAGTGAATCATATCACATTCATCTGGTCCCTTTCTCTTTCTGAGGCCCTGGACTTCTGAGCAGCAGATGAAACCTGAAAGAAATAAGGTACACATCACTGAGGGATAGTGGTCAAAGTTTACCCAACCTTACCTCTGCCTAGCTTGGAACCATATGTGTTACTACTTTCTCATTCCTGTAATGGGGACTGACATGCCCACCACTTGTCCATCCCCCAGAGACGCTGGTCTTTAATAATTAGAAGTTCTTCTAAGATGAGCTGGATCCACTTTTCTGTTACTTTAGTTCAGCCACCCTGGAGCAGCAAAACGTAAATGTCTTCCTGCATCTACACATGTGCTCTATTGCAGGAGACACTTCTGTCCCAGTGTCAAGGATTAAGAGAAATTGACTTACAATAAAGAGGGGAAAGAAGAAACCTTGAGGGTTACTGTTATTACTAGGACAGTTTAAATTGATTTATAGGGGACAGTTAACAAGAGCAGAAATTGAAATGGCACTTGACTGAATCCAGAGTGTTGAATTTTTATCAAGGAGCCAGAAGGGGTGCAAGATACTTTTAAAGAATAAAGGAAGGATATAAACCCTGCCCTTAAGGAGCTAAAATTCTTATTAATTTAATCACGCTAATGACCGGACAAGAAAAATGCCTGTGTGAGCAACGAAAACAGTTCAGGTATTAGAAAAAAATATGACTACCTACAAGTCTACATTAGAAGTCTAAAAGGTAAAATTTTAATTAAAATGCTTTATGATTTCATCACTAAAGCAATTTTTGCTCATTGTAGAAAAAATTGGAAAATGAACAAAATTGAGACGAGTGTACAAATGTATAACTCAGCCATTCAGAGAGAACCACGCTTGTTCTGATAGTTTATGAGCCAGGGAAACTAGCTCTCAATGGGTTTTTGTAGTGGCATGACTCTGGTCCTTTACCAGAACTGCCTTTTCACTATCCTGAGTATTTTCAACGTCAAGTATTCATGTGCAGTGTGTTTGATAATTAACTAGGATTTCATGAAAAGATCATGTCATCTTTTTTTTTATCCAACTGCTTAGAAATTCAACATTTTGTTTGTTTGAAAATCTCCCCAGTATCAACAATATTCTTGAAGCTAAACCATAGTCATAATTCTTCCCTTAAAATATATTTCTCTGGGGCTGGGAAGGTGGCTCAGTGGTAGAGTGCTTGCCTAGTATGCAATTTTCAGTACCACATACACAGAAAAAAAGCCAGAAATGGCCCTGTGGCTCAAGTGGTAGTGTGTTAGCCTTGAGCAAAAGAGAAGCTTAGGGACAGTCCTCAGGCCCTGAGTTCAAGCCCCAGGACATGTGTATGTGTGTGTGTGTGTTTATTTGTGTGTGTGTGTAAAATTGCTAGATCAGAATAGGTACAGATTTGTCAGCATTTTAAAATAATTTTTGATAAATTCTGCTCCAGCGAATTTCAGGAAGCAGGCCCTATAGTTGGGGAAGAGTGATCAATAATCAATCACTTAGGAACCATGTGAGCATTGTTTTTTTTTATGACTGATCATTTAACAGGTAACCTATATATGTCATTGCTAGTTTCTTTGGTTACTAGGTGTGAAGGTCTTTGAAAGTGATGGTCATTTCCTTCTTGACAAACTGACTATTGTATATAGGTTAGTAGTATTTTATTCACCAAATGCATCCTATGCAGCTACCTCATGCTGCACGTCACGTGAGCGATGAACAGAAGCTCAGGGGTCTTGCTTTGGTGGAGCCTGGTTTCCAGCTCATGTCTGTCTTCTCAATTTCCAATGGCCAGGGTAGTGGCACCATTACTGTGTTATATTGGGCAAACTCTCTTATCTTCCAGTTGCTACTTGGAAATGGATGTGTGAGTCTGAGTGTGTGACAGAGCGTTCCGGGAGACCATGTGGCGAAAAAAAGAAAACCTGCGTTGTATGCATTAGGAACCAGAAGAGGCAAAACCCAGACAGGAAAAGACTCACAACTGTAGTGACACAGAAGAATCTAGAATCCAAGTCCTGAGGGCCAGATCTAGTCTGATCACTGAAAGAAAAAAAAGACAGTCTTCTCCTATTTCAATCTCTACTCCTGCATTCTACAAAAAGCAGCTCACATTGGTTGGATATGTGTGTGTCGTACTAAAGCATTGTGGTGAACCCAGTTCAAGTTCCCTTGGCTTCCCATGGAGAAGGACCTCACGATCTATTCACTTGGCAGACATTAACTAAAATAACACTGGCATCACAACTGGTCATTAGCAAAGCTAGTGGGTACAGGTCTGCACTGCCTGCTCTCAGCTGTCCGAACACCTGTTGGTGGAGGAGAACAGCGCGGGAGATGTGGGCAGTGTGGCACGCTGCAGCCCTGTGGCTGCTGCTGAGCACAGGCTCTGGGCCTGTCCATTCCTGTCTGTCCTGTCCATTCCTCCTCTTCCTCCTCCACTCCAGCTCCCTTCCACTGCCAGCACCTCCTTCTCTCCGAACCTTCACCAAAATTCTCCTCAAATGCTCTGCGATCTTAAAGTACAAATGAAATGAGACCTGAGAACCAAGCCAAGAGTCAATTCAACGAACCAGCATGTGACATTTCATTTTTAAATGAGTCGGGATCTCAGACGAAGAGGATTGAGTATTAATTGGTATTCTAGGATCCCACTCATTTTCATGATAAGGGTCTCTTCTTTCCTTCTGTCTTTGTGTCTTCCCTCACACCCATCCTCTTCTTTCTTTCCTTCCTTCTTCCCATCCGTTTCTTTCCACTCTCCTTTCTTTCCTTCCTCTTTTATTCCTTCTTTCCTGCCTTTCTTCATCTTTCTCTCTCTCTTTCCCTCATTATTCTCCCTCACCCCCTACTCTACCCAGACTGGAGCACACAACCTCACCACCTCAGAAAACCTATTGAGAATTTATCCTTTTGCCAGAATTTGTTGACATAGAAGTGTATGTACACAGGCTAACAAGAATACCTCCAGACAATGGGCTACGGGTGGGCAGCAGAGACCCTAGACTCATCTACTGCTTCCCAGGGGTGCGTGCGTGCGTCCCTCCACCAGCCCTCCCCACCCAGTGATCTGCCATTGCCAGGCCCAGAGAATGGCAGCTCAGCAGCCTCTCCGCCCCCAGCCCTCTCACCTCTGAAGATGTCACCTCCGTGGAGGGACCCAGAGCACACAGGTTGCCAGGGACAGGCAGGTAACTGGGTGGTCACAGCTTTGGATCATTAGAGTCTGCAGTGGGACGGTCCAGCAGTGACAAACAAGCAGCACCAGGGCTTCAGCTCAGGGGAATGGCATGTGGTTAACGTGGATTTTGTGGCCAAAGGAACAAAGAACCAGAGTTTACCAGGGAAATGCAGGTTGGAAAGGGGGGCATTTGAGTATGTTCCTTTTGCCACTGTCTTATAAAAGGGTAGCATTTATTTAGACTTAATTATCAGTTCTATTTTATTCGTGGTGCATTCAGAACTTTTGGAACCCATGAAAAGCTGGGTACTGATCAATATTTCAGTGTATTTCTAACATGAGAGGAATTTATTACATGCTTAACTACCTGGAATGTTTTCCTCAAGTCTTGTGGATGAGTCAAGTCAAACTCTGACATTCCAGCCACTCAACAAGGGAGATTTCAGAAATGAACTCACAGAAAGGACATTTGAGCGGTAAATAAGTACAGAAGCAGGGACAGGTGAGAGCAGGCACAAATGTGGCTCACGCGCATTCAGGCAGGAAGAGGCAAAATGGCGTAAATGCTCTGAGAAGCATATTTTACCCAGAAAGGCAGTGGTTTTATGTAAGAGGCAGTTTCTGTTTTCTTAAATCCAACCATGCATGTTTTTTTTTTTTCTCCTTAGGAGGAGGACAGTTTTATACATTTTCAATCCGAAGAAAATTATTAAAAATGGTCTATTCAATCTCAGAGGATAGTGTTTCAGGGAATAGTTACAGAATTTATTCTCCTTATTTCAGACCCTTTAAACAACCTTCCACTATCTCACACAGTACTGAACAGCCCTCTCTGGCAGGGAAAATCACAGACATTGGTTGGACTTGTCTGACATCTTAATGGTTAGTATAGCTCATGAGGGAAGATGTGGCCAGAGCAAAGGCCGTCAGCTAGGTAGAGGAGGCGGCGTGGTGGAATTTGAAGACAGGAGGCCATCCCTTGCCACTCAAAGAACTAAGGAAAATATGGCATTGAGATACAAAACACAAAGGCAAACAAAACTGCTAAGGTCAGAAGGTACAACCAGCACAGAGAGTCCAGAGAAACTCAAAACTACACAACCACAAGAATAATGTGTGTGGCTGAGAGCTGTTGGCTCTGTCTCAAAAAAAATTAAAATCACATGTATATTAAATAAGTCAAGTATCAAGCTTAATTTGGTCAATTAAATGTTGCACTCATAATTAAGGCGAAAGAAGGCTCTGCGTAAAAAGCTTCACTTTCCTGGTGAATCTAGTTGTGTCAAATGTAGGAATACCATGCTCACTTTGACACCATATGTATTAAAAATTGGAATGACACAGAAAAGAGTAACATGGCCCTGTGCAAGGATGACACACAAATTCATAAAGTGCCCCATATTTTTGCAACTCCTTTGTACAAGTTCTTAAAGATAATAAAAATAATTTTTAAAGAAGTGGAAAAACTGATAGGAATATAAACTTCCTTTATGTTGGTGGTAAACTTCCTTGGAGACCGGGTGTCACCATTTTTCTTCTTCTCAGTGTTTCCTATTCTCTGGTAGCAAATTGGGTTGGGTCTTAGTTTCCCTTTTATTTTATGAGCAAAATCAAAACCAGCTACCAAAAATGATGGCATGCCCATCCCCAGTTCCATACTTGTGGTTCATTCCTTGTCGTCTCTGTATCCACTTTCTGATATTATATACCTGATCAAGAATGGCACCTGCCAGGGATTGTTAGTACCGCTTAATACCTTCCTGACAAGTATCTTTAAAAGTGAGTCCATATATTGTTGTCATCTGTCTCCTGCATTCCCATCAATATGACCGTGCTAAAGTTTACCTGGTATCATTAACCATGGTAGATATCATCTATAATCAATATCTGATTCCAACATTTGGCTCTACTATTTTTTTAGACAAAATGATGCTCTTTGGGACAATATTTGATGATAAGAGAATAAGCAAAGTTGTCAAGGAGATGGAAAAAAATAACCCACAAAACTCTGGGGAAAAGATGCTTGAAAGTACCTTCCCTCCTCACTGAGGGCAGAGGAAGGCTACTTACTTCCAGTTCAATTCCTTTGAACTGCCTGTTGTGTTACATAATTCATAGACTTGCTCTTTAGCATCAGATTTGTGGCCGTGTACAAAGGTCACAGCTCCAAGAGTACAAAATGTGCAAATCTGAGGACTGAAAGTCTTTCCCCATGACTTATTTATCAAACAGGTTGTCAGAGGAAAAGCTTGGGTGTTGGTTTGCCTTTCTTGTTTTGTGCAAATAATCATCTCTGTGTCCTACCTTGTTAACCTTTTCTGTTTATTTCCGCTTCCCTGCGACACCTTATTATAGTTGCCAGTTAATCACAAATATATTAAGAGATTTCTTTCTAATCTAGCAGTCTTCATTGCTTTGTGGCCTCTACAGGAACACTCAGGCCTCCACTGAGAGAGTGTCCAATTACACTCCCGGCAGGGAAAAAAACCAAAGCTCCAGCCCTTGACTGTGCTTTGTCTAAGGTATCAGATGTGGAGGCAAATTACCTATCTAAAAATAAAAACTAAAATTAAGAATAATAAAATAGAGCTTTGACTTTTCTCATCACAGCCTCCTTTGTACTTAATTACATAGACTGACAGCATAGGCAATTGTTAACAATCACTCTTGAAATGGGTTTAGAAAATGTCTGGTCTGTTCTTCCCCTCCGGATGAGTAAACAAGAGCCTTTTGGTTTTTTTGTAATTATAGATGAATTTGCTTGCAACCCCGACTTACAAATACAAGGCCAGCCAAGGTGTGCTAGATATGTCAGTATATAAACTCAGTCATACTTTACTTTGCTGTACATCCTGGACCTAAGAGGAGAAACATCATAAAAATAACACTCAACGTTCTTTCCAAATTTCAATCTATTTTGCTTTAGTTAAAAATAGATATTTTAGAAATGGTGTGTAGAATATTTTTCTCTCTTGGGATGCTTTGTGTTTCCTCTTCGTGTCTATAGAAACCCCCCAACTTCAAATGTACAGTATATTAACAACCCCCACCAGTTGAATATCCCCTACCTTTCCCTTAACCTTTTTCTCTCAGGGTCTCTGCTATACCATAGCTAACGCCAGTTGCATAGAAACTTGCTCTGAGGGATAATAGCGCCACCTGAAGGCTGTCTCCAGGAACTTGCTCACCCATTGTCTTCAGGGCCTTTGACCTTGAACAATCCTCAAGGTTATTCCTTTTACATATCTTTAGCATCTTTCCTAAAACCTTCCTTGCTGTCCTTCCCACCACCAACTCAGAATCAGGATGAATTCTAAAAACCATAGGAAATAACAGCTATATCCATGGAACGTTTATTTTTTCAATATTCACAAAGAGCTAGACTGTACACTGTACATGGGATTCATTAAGTGAGGAACCTCTAACATCCCTGTGACCTCCACCCCACAGACCCCCTCCCTGTGGGCATGTGCTTCTTCATTTGAATTTGTTGCAGATTTTTTGAGGGCAGAGCAAAAGATAAGAAAGATAATTCATGAAGGAAAACTAAATACACACACACACACACACACACACACACACACACACACACACACACACACACAGAGCCACTGTAGGGATCCAATTTGAAAGGAACTGTTTTCCATCTTCTGTTCTTACAAATTGGTGGACAGACGTCTGTTCCCATGAGTCAGCTCTGCTACTTAATCCTTTTTTACTCCCCAGACCTGGCGTCATGATTCAGATCTCTGTCGACAAATGTTTATAGATGAGTCACCAATGCTGCCAGGATGTGGAATGGGTACCGTAAACAGTGGGAGCTCTGGTTCCACTGCAGAAATGACACCCAAGAGAACCTCTCCCTATACCTTTCAGACCCGGGTAGGTTCCTGGGTACCAGACAACAGTCAATTGTTGCCTGTTCACACCAAGATGCTTGATGCTAGGCAAGCAAAACTATAGAGACCCTCATCAAGTGCTCCTATGCTGTACTAGTATTCCTTTAAAAATACTGATAAGGAAGTGGCGCTGTGGCTCAAGCGGTAGAGCACTCGCCTTGGGCTGAAGAGCGCAGGGACAGCGTCCAGGCCCAGAGTTCAAGCCCCATGACCAACCCCAAAAATAAATAAATAAATAAAAATACTGATAAACATTTTATGTATAAAACACCATCCAAACAGTTAGAATTTTCTTAAACTTCCAGAGAAGCAGCAGATTCCTAAGTGAAAAACATGAGAGGTAATTCAAGATCAGATTTGAAATGAGATCTAGTAAAAAAAAAAAAAAAAAATTTAGATAAAGGCCAGGCTTCCAGCTGCGCTTGACTCTCTTGGGGAATACCACCATTCCTCACTTTATCCTTCTTATAATGTGTGTGCTTCTCATTGAGCAATATTGGGAGGCATGTGATGTCTTGGCCCAGGTGGTAACTGACAAGATTCCCCCATAAGGCATTCTTTCCCCCTGTTAAGTAATGAATAATTGTGGGGAGAGGCCCTGAGACCATGGACTCACCCTCTTTCCCTAATCTATTTACCATTGATTGATAATACTCTTCTCTATTCCTTTTGCTTTTGTAAGGTGGCCTTCTAAGGAGATTTCCTTTCACCCTGTTTGTTTTCTCACTTATTTGTCTACTTATTATGTGCATTGGAGTGGATTCAGGAATTTAGCCAATGGATTATAATCCATTTCTATCATTATTTTTTTAGGTTTTTAATTTGCCCCAGATTTAGCCAGAGAGAGAGAGGGGGAGAGAGAGAGAGAGAGACAGAGAGAGAGAGAGAGAGAGAGAGAGAGAGAGAGAGAGAGAGAGAGAGAGAGAGCGCTCCTTTGGGCTGGTTCCTGTGTTCTTTTAATATTTTTCATCATTCTGAGTCCTTCCTAAATTTTGGACACAAAAGAAGTTCTAGAAATATGATGTGCTCCCCCTGCCTCCTGCTGGGAGTCACCCCTTCATTCTAGTACCTCTGGTTGTTTTTAGAAGAGAATATTTGGATCCCAGGTTTTCAGTGGATATGATCATGAGTGACCACTTCTAGATCCTTTTATTATCAAGAATTGGGATGTAAAAACACCTGCACATGTACACATGCACATCTACATACATACACACAAACACATTCGTATCTATGCAACGAAGAGTTCACATGAATACATCCAGTTCTATTTCAACACCCTTGGATATTTTCTATGTTTTCCTATTTACAACTCTCCTATAAAAAAATCCTGCCTCTCATTATTTTTAATATATTCACTCATTTGTTCAAGTCTAGAAAATACAAATAGTACTTTCTCAATTGTTAAACTATGATACTTCACAAAGTAAATCTCCTAAGAAGTGTTCCGATTTTATTTTAATAGTTCTGTCTCCCAGATAATATTTACATATGGAAAAGCACACAAACCAGAGGTGTGTGATTCAATTTATTTCCCTATATTATGTGTCTATGGAAACAATATAGAAAATACCCATCTCATACATGAAACTCTACTCCTTCCTGTTCAGTCCTTCTCACCCCAAAAATCCATTTTTGATAGTGTTACACCAAGCATTAGTTTGTATAATCTGAATTAATATAATAATTATTATTAATATAAATGGAATTGCATGCAAAGGACCTTGTGTGTAACTTTTGTTTGGGGTGGTATTCTCTCTTTTAGAGTCTACTGTGTCTTTCATTTTCTCTGTGAACTTCATGTCTATCTTTGGGTTGAAAACAAGTTCTTGAATATTTTCCTTTACCACTTTTTATATTCTTTTTTTTCTTGAGTCCCTATCTTGGGGTTTATTTCACTTAGCATCATCTTATATGGTCATACGTACATAGCTTTTGAGCTTTTCTGCTCATCTGATAAGATTATCCTAGACATATACTAATTACTGCAAATAAGGGAAAACATGGGCACTATATTTTTTGGACCTGGCTTCCTTTACTTAATATGATTTTTTTCCAAGTCTTTTCATTTCCTAACATGGGGTAGTGTCATTCTTTCTGATGGAGGCATAGAATTCCATTGTGTATAAATACCACATTTTTTTTGATCCATTCATTTACTGAAGGGCATCTAGGTTGGTTCCACATCTTAACTATGGTAAATAATGCTGTGAAAAACATAGTTGTGCTAGTAGCTTTAGTATGGTCTTGTTTGTGATCAGGTAAATGCTCAAAAGTGGGATTGCTGGGTCATAGGGGTATTCTATGTGGAGTCTTTTGAGGAACCTCCATACTACTTTCCAAAGTGGTTGAACAAGTTTATACTCCCACCAACAATGCAGTAGGATTCCCTTCTGGCCACATCCCCTCCAGCACTGCTATTAGATTTCTTGATTATAGAAATTCTAACTGGGGTAAGGTGGAATCTCAATGTTGTTTTTATTAACATTTCTTTTACGGCTAGAGAG